GGTCGTGACAAGCTGGACATGGAGTTCAGAGAGTCATTGCAGGATTGGCTCATTGACCAAGTCTCTGAAGTTTGGAATGTGCAGTTGATTTGGGGCACTTGAATTCACTTGAAATATGATCTTTGGATGGATCCATCTCTGGAATCATCTGTATGGTATGGCTCCCAGACTCTCTTCAAGCTCCTCTTCTCATGGCTCAGCCGTGGTTCGGTGCAGGATGCTCACTCCTCAGAATGGAGTGGCCGAGAAGAAGACGATGAGTTCGCACCTCAAGCTGCTGAAGTTCGCCTTTTTCAATCGAAGGCCAAAAGGTCGCAGATTGACTCGACATGTTTGCCTTTTGGCCTTGGGGCCCCGAACGTCGCTTGCATCGACCTCTGGTGATGCAACGATGTCTGGTGACTTGAACCAACTTGACCTTTTTCGGAGCAGCGACCCATGGACAAGAGTTTCGAGGTGAAACCAACCGCATGGAAGGGTACCGTACCGCGGCTACCCCCCGAATAGATCCCTTTAAAGAGAATACGCCAGCCAAAATAAGATGACCAATTGAACGACACCAAAAACCACGGCCCTGACGGTCCCGATGTCCGTCACAGAGTCCACCGTGGGATCCTGTGGTACGACATGAGGGTTGGACACGAACCTGGGTGCCTCTCCGCTTTTTTTTGGGTGGTCACTTTGCATCCCGTGGACTAGTTCTTACAAAATGGTCAAAGTCATCGGATGCCACTGGATGCCTGAGATTGGACAAATGCACCGCCAGGATTCCCACTCACCCGTTTACCCTGTGCAAATCCTCAACCAGCCTCTGTCGAAGACACGGTGTTTTAGGAGGCCCTTGAGACCTCCTGGTCCTCCATGGTCCGTTCCACGGTCCGTTTGTGTCTCCTCCCAGGTCCAGCCATCACAGCTGGGGAACCAACTGGAGCTCCTTGGTGACCCGTTCCCGGGAACCACCCCTGCGCCGTCCGGCAGTGCGGCTTTGGGCGCTAGTGGTGAATCTCAAGCTTTCAGGGGAGTAAATCAAGAGTTCAAGAAGCTGGTCTTTTGAGGTCAGTTGTTTTTGCTTCTGCGACTTGTCCTGCACGGCTTCAGGGAATTCTAGAATTCATTCTTGATTCGATCCCTACTTAGTTTTTGCGCCCCTCTTGCTGAGATCAAGAATCATTTCATGCCATTTGTGGCACTGGAATCAATCGAATCTAGACAGTTTGGTTCCTGTTGACTCTTTTTTTCTCGACCAATCTGTTTGTTGAGGCCCCTGGACCAATCTATTCTACCTTTCGAACGTAGGAACCACACGCCTCGGTCCGTGACGAGCCGACGTCACATCCGAGCCAACGACCCTTATGCGTATCGGGTGGTCTTCAAGTCAAATACCGAAGGAATCCGAAGGACCTTCCACTGATCCCTTAAAGTCAAGAGATTGGACTTGAGTTCATTCCAGTGTTTGCTTCAATCATGATGAACAACTCTAGTCATAATATCTCCAGTGGTTCAGTGGAAGCAAATGGTTTTGACCCTGCACAAGACGATTAACTCCAGACTTAATTCCTCGAGTGCCAATCCATTGCCATACTCTGCATGGTGAAGAGTTAAGTCTTGATGCAATCCTCTCTACTGAGAGAAGCTTGTCACATCTGATGTTTGGCCTTTCTAGCAGACCCCTTCAAAGTTGAAGCTTAGATTCAGTTCTACCATCGTCGCTAGTTTACAGTGTGATTACCTAGATTGTGTACGTTGATGTACATGTATGCTTGTGCAAACATGATGTACGCTCCCTCCAAGAAGGACAGGGTTTTCGACGCTTATCTTCCACTTCCATGTTCAGGGAGTGTAAGACCATGTAAGACTAAGACCATCTCCGCAGAGCCTTTGCTTAAGGTCATCATACTACCTCAACGATTGGCTTCCTGACTGGCTTCTGATCTGTGGAAGCGCCACTGTGCAGCTTGAAGTGTCGTTAGCGTTCACTAAGCGCGGATGAAACGCCCTTCCAGGGCCAAAGCGTATCCTACTGCGATGCCACACGCGTTTCACCCTAAGCAAACAAAATATCCAAAATTAATCAAAATTCTATAGATATCTAACTATGCAGTCTGGGGGAGCAAATCAAATCGTACAACAAGCAAAGCAAAATGGGTTTTGTTGCTGCTTCTGGGCGTGAGTCAAACACTGACTCTCGAGATGTACTCACTCTTTGGCACAGCTGGAGCAGAAGAACCTCAGCGGCCAAACAAGAGGCAATCCGCACCGACTTTGCTGGTTCTTTGCACACCAAAAACATCGGCCGGGCGAGCTCGCTTTAAGTGGGTCCACGGCGTGAACGGGCCTGTACCGCGTGAACGGACCTGTGAAACACTGGAACCGATGGACAAGCTGCTTACATTTGGCACTCGAAGTGATTGGTTTTTGAAGGTTCGCGACTGCTGGACCCGGCTTTAAAATGGACAGTTCAAGAACGCACGCCCTTTTCTGCTTGTGCGAGGGTCTCCGTTTTTTTGTTCCGTTTGGCTGCTGGATCGGACTCAATGATTTTGTGCGAGAAGCAGCAGACACTCCGGCCATGGCGTCGTGCAAAAGCTCACGACAGGGTTCTTGTGTAGAAGGACACTGCTTAAGTGTTGCATCAAGAGTCTACCAACACCGGAGCTTTGATAAGCTTTGGCCGAGTTCAATCTGGGTGGATTTCAATGCAGCACTCTGGACACCCAATTGCTTGGGATACCAGGCGTCCTGCTTCTCCCAGCAAACGTGCAAGCGTGCGGAGATGGAATTCGGCATGCCGCAATGTTGGACGCGTTAGGTGAGGTGGACACGTCCAAAGAAATTGGCCATGCACAACTTACGTAAGACTTGGCACCCGATACGGTCCTTGACATGCTATAGGGACTGTAGCAGTGGATGCCGTGGAAAAAGAGTGGAAGGCAGATCATGCTTATGCTAGATGTCAATGTGCTGCTGATACAAACATTTGTTGATCACGTGTCCAGAGTATTCCAAGTATTCGCCTTCCTCTCTCGACTGAGGAGAACGTGATTTCTTCTTGGACATCCAGCATCTTCGGCATGTTCATCAAGGCATCTTCGGTGGCACAGGTAGAATTTGTGAATCAGAAAGTTGATAACGTTTTGAAACTATGACATGCTGCAAGGAGCAAGTTACTCACCAGATGAGCGCTGGATTGGTGAGGCTCCTCCTGGAAGCTAAGCTTGTGATTATAATTGCATTTGTGCCACTTGATGATGATATTGGATGTGTGCTTTTGTCGACCACCATTCAGGGTGATGCCAAACAGACAATTGTACAATGTGGAATTGCAGCATTGACGGCTTAAGCTTCTGGGAATTGCGACTCGTGAATCTGTGACGTGTTTGAAGCATGGCCAAGTGGGTCTACAACTTCGGTGATGGCAAGGTGGCATGGATGGTGTCCTGTTCTCGTCCCGATCGGTCACAGGTTGTCACGTGGCTGGTGGCTGGGGGGGGTCTGAAACAATCAACACTGCCCCCTCTCGAGCGACAGCGAGAGCTTGGGGGATAGTGAACTACCCGAGTGCTGGCGACCACACAGTATTTTCATGTATTTTCCACAGGGAGACCTTCCCAATTCGAGCACTGGAAGAAGGGAATATATAGACCAAACCCCATTGGGCCAGGGGTCTCCCAAAAAATAACACCCCAATATTCAATCCATCTCATACATATATATATATATGTATAACTTTATTATCCCAGAGCTGGGCGTGCCCATTTCTTGCTCTCCTTTCAGCAGGTCGACATTCCAATTTGACATGGTGTGGTGAAGTGCTCCAATTCCGAGCCAGTCACGAGCCAGTCTCGGGCAGGGCACCTTCCATGGCTGCGCGTCATGGCACCCGGAGCCCCCCCATCATCTCCTTGAGAGGTTGACCTGCGACTCAGTCGTCTATTCTCCTCTATTTCAGGGGGCAAAAACTCGGGTATCGGGTCCCCCCCTGTGCCATGACCCACTGGGTCCATGGGGACCAGTCGGGGACGAGTCGAGGACGACGGGGATGGTAGGCTTCGAATGGCTTCGACCGGGTTGCTTTCAGCATGGGTTCTGAAATCAGTCGACGGCCGGTAGACCGTCACTCCTCGGAGTGTTTTTTGTTGTTCCTTTTTGGTATTTCATGTTTTTCAACTTTTTTCCACAGTTTCACGGGCCGGCAAAACTTCAAAGTTGGTGCGAAGTTGACAGGCTGATGGCCGAGCAGAGATGAAGAACCTCCTTGGTGGCAAGGGTGCTAACCTTGCGGTAGCTTGGGCAACCAACCAGTTTTTTCCCGTGCTTTGCCAAATTGATGCCCGAAGGCCTAAAACGTGTGAACCTCAGGGAGTTGATTCGTCATTAGCACAGTGTTTTTCCCTCATGCCTGCCTGAGGAAATGGCATCCATTGGACTCCCTGTGCCACCCGGGTTCACCCTTACAACAGAGGTGTGCACTCATTTCTACAA